CAGCTTATTTCCTAGCCCTTGCATCTCCTCGCCGTCGCATGGTGGCCCCGTCGCGTTTAGGGATCACGTTTCCTTGACGTGACGTCCCCTCCTCGTCGCGTTTTCTCCTTCGCACGTATCCACAACGTCGCGTTTCCTCATCGTGGCAAGGAGACCCTCGTCGCGTTTTTCTCCTCGTCACGGCTCCTCCGCATCGCGTTTCCTCCCCGTCGCGCTTCCACCCCGTCGCATTTCCTCCCGTTCGCATTTCCTCTCTTGGTCACATGCGCTCATCATTCGCAGCTCCAACCCCGTCCTTTCTCCCTCCCGTCGAATACCCCGTCGCGCCTCCTCCCTTGTTCCTTCCCATCCCGTTCCCGCCTCCACGCTTCCTCCCCGTCGTCTTTCCTCCCCGACGGGAAACGGGATGGCCCTTCCGCTCTCGTCCAACCTCCGTCCCTTTTCCCCCGTCCTCCCTCCCTTCATCACTTCCTCCCCATCTCCCATCTTCGCTCCGCTAGTGATTCCTTCCTCCCTTTCTTTATATTTCTCCTCGCTCCCCTCATCCCTTCCGACGCTCCCTCGCCGACACGCACTCCTCTCCGTCCCCCACGCTCACGCCCCCCACCGTCGCCCATGCTCACTCCCCTTCCGTCTCACACGCTCACTCCGCTCCGTCGCCCACGCTCACGCCCCTCCCTCTCACACCTTCACTCCCCGCGGTTCCCCACCTCACCCCATCTCCTCAGCACCCCATCTCCGCCTCACCCTATCTCCTCAGCACATCCCAAAAATGTGCGAGGAAAAAAGCTACGATTTGGATACCTGGTAGATACTTTCCAGTAGGTTGAAAACGCCTACTTTTCGGTTGCCAATGAACCTACGTAGCGTATATTTTCATGCTGTGTGTGTTCCCGAGCCTAAACCTGCGTTGAAGTTTCTCGCACGTAGGTTCAGGCGTTGCGCGGGCGACTGCAGCACTGGATGTAATTGGTGGGCGAGACTGTTTCGTGCTCTCTAATTCGCCGAGGCCTTTTTATGCAGAGTCGCATTCTTCCGTACTAGTTGATGATTGCTTGGGTATGTTTAGTCGAAATCGCAAGTGATTCAGCGACTTTCCAGTTACCGTTTCTTGGTTGGGTGCGATGGATTTTAAATCAGGGGCAAAACGGACACGCGGCACAGCTACAATGTTTCCCTCCCAAAACAGGACTGCAATTTGTCGGTTTACCAATGGTCAGTCTAACGCTGTTGTGGAGATGGCTGATTCGCTCTGGACCATCTGTGTCAGACAGTTTAGTCTGACACGCGGCTGTCTCCCGTTCATTCACCAGCTTCAGAAAAGGGCAACTTGTGATGGTGCCATTCCCAGGTGTGATGGTGCCATTGCTCAAATTGTGATGACGTGCGACATACCAGGGACATTTTGTCAGAATGTTACAGGTCCGCAGAGCCTCGTTTATAGTTACTCGTTGCATTGTATCGGTCTAGTGGTGCTACATTTTATGTGATTTGATAAAAGACTTTACCGTACGTTTATTATTTTTTTGTGAGCTTTTATTTTAATTTTTTGTTGGATATTAATTTTGCGGTTGTTTACCACTCAATTGGATGTACAGAAACGTCTCTACATACTGAACCTACAATTAATAATACTACGTTACCCCAAATCTACGTCCTGTGAGCGTCATAGCAAGCACACAACTATTTATTGCCTAGCTAACTCCCATAGTAGCACTTCTAAGGGTTCAAATCCTCAATCCCATCACAGCTAATAAAAAGGCAATCTGTGCTCTCGTGAAACTTCCACGCTTTGAAATCGGCCTGCCACCAAGGTCCCGTGGCATTGCGCGTGGGGCTCTGGATGGCATCACGAACGACATTGCGGACATTGGAGCTGTATCGTGCATACAGTCCTTTGAGGTCCACACTGCTGTGAGAGAGAGGCAAACCAGTCTTGATCTTGTGTTCCACCTGCAGTTATGAAAAGCAGAACATCAACATGAGCACCAACTAGTTTTGCACCAACTGACATGCACTGAATGTTCACCTACCCCGAGGAGCCAAAACGCAATGTGTTTCAGTCGCGCAGCACCAGCTTCGGATAGCCCTGCCTCTCATATGACAGATAGATAGCGCGGGTGAAAATGTCGTTCGCCAGAAGGACCCCCTTGTCATTCTTAGTTCAGGTCAGCAGGTCCCACGAGTCATCATCTGGAATTTGGGGTGTAGGAGGGAAACTCAAGGGGCTTACAAATGAACCACAACTCAGGGAGGCATCGTGAAATGCATCAGATTTTGGTAGGCATGCGTTTGGGGGATGGGTCTGCCCTATGCATAGAGCCTCTGCCTTCACAATCTTCGAGAGGCCCGTGCTGGACATGTGGGTGCATGCAGGGAATGGAGGGGTATAGAGGGGCACAGCAGAGGACAGGAGGACAGAGTGGGCATTGGCGGGCAGCAAGGTACAGTAGGGAAGAGGGTGAGGGATGTCGATCGGTGCCGAAGTCGCACTGAAGATTGGCACCGTGTCAATCTGAGACAATGAAGAACTTCTTGGTCTTGCGTGCCTCGGCATTGTGAGCAGAATGATGTACATCACCTGGCGGCATGGGCTTGCATGGCATGTCCGATGGGGGGCAGTGGGGTAGACAGCGAAACAGTGGGGTAGATGGGAAAAGAGTGGGTACGGGCATGTGACAACTTGTGGATGGACGGGAATACATGGGAACAGGGGCACAGATAGTGGAAAAGTCGTGCAAGAGAGTGGGCTGAATACGAGAGACGTGCGAGTGTGTGTGCGGGTGCAAAGTAACAAGCCTTTGAACAGCGGAAGCAGCCAAGTAGGTACGAAACGCTACCTGCAGCGAATTTGGCGACAAAGGCTGATGGTTCGACACGTCCCACCACGGCCTGGTGGAGGTTTGGCCGTTCTATCTTGATGTTGAAGTACTCATACAGGTTGACTCTTCCCGTGGTGAGTATCGTGTTGCGTTTGTCCTGGAACTTCTTCCGAAACTGACCCGGTCGACCAGTCTCGTTCTCCATCACTAGCGTGAGATTCTCAATCTGCGCAGGGTCTGTGTACTTCAAGGCAGACGCCAGCGCATTGATAACCGCTGAACGAGGGCACCAGAACTGCAGGTGGGCATTCGGAGTCTCATAGACAAGTATGTCTACGGCTTTCTTTGCAGCGGCCTGCATTCTCAGAGGTTCAGGGCAAGAGATTTTTTAGAAGGGTTTAGGAGCTTAGGCACAAAGGGAGAAGACCGTCTTAGTCACACGGGTAGAGTGAACTACATCTCACAGCCCCGGAATTTCTGGCTGGAACGGATGGACCCTGTACGCATGCAAAGGGAGATGCTACGGAAAGTACAACGTCACTGGGAGGGAGGGGGCTTAGACAAAAGGGCAGACTTGCTGCTGCCGTTCGTCTGATTGCTCCCCAGCTCACTGCCTCGGGAGGGTAGGGCGGGTCTTGGGGGTATGTAGATCAAGCGCGCCTGCCAAAGGAGGGGAGAGAGGCGGTTAGAATGGGAGGGGGAGGGCTTAGGCGCAAGGGCAGAGGCAGAGGGGTGATTGTGTTGGCGTGATTGCGCCTTCCTCACATCCACATGAGGGTAGGGCGGGTCTTGGGGGTATGTAGACCAAGCGCGCCTGCCAAAGGAGGGGAGAGAGGCGGTTAGAATGGGAAGGGGAGGGGCTTAGGCGCAAGGGCAGAGGCAGGGTGATTGGGTTGGCGTGATTGCGCCTTCCTCACACCCACATGAGGGTAGGGCGGGTCTTGGGGGTATGTAGACCAATCGCGCCTGCCAAAGGAGGGGAGAGAGGCGGTTAGAATGGGAAGGGGAGGGGCTTAGGCGCAAGGGCAGAGGCAGGGTGATTGGGTTGGCGTGATTGCGCCTTCCTCACACCCACATGAGGGTAGGGCGGGTCTTGGGGGTATGTAGACCAAGTGCGCCTGCCAAAGGAGGGGAGAGAGGCGGTTAGAATGGGAGGGGGAGGGGCTTAGGCGCAAGGGCAGAGGCAGGGTGATTGGGTTGGCGTGATTGCGCCTTCCTCACATCCACATGAGGGTAGGGCGGGACTTGGGGTGTAGACCAAGCGCGCCTGCCAAAGGAGGGGAGAGAGGCGGTTAGAATGGGAAGGGGAGGGGCTTAGGCGCAAGGGCAGAGGCAGGGTGATTGGGTTGGCGTGATTGCGCCTTCCTCACACCCACATGAGGGTAGGGCGGGTCTTGGGGGTATGTAGACCAAGCGCCTCTGCCAAAGGAGGGGAGAGAGGCGGTTAGAATGGGAGGGGGAGGGGCTTAGGCGCAAGGGCAGAGGCAGTGTGATTGGGTTGGCGTGATTGCGCCTTCCTCACATCCACATGAGGGTAGGGCGGGACTTGGGGTATGTAGACCAAGCGCGTCTGCCAAAGGAGGGGAGAGAGGCGGTTAGAATGGGAGGGGGAGGGGCTTAGGCGCAAGGGCAGAGGCAGGGTGATTGGGTTGGCGTGATTGCGCCTTCCTCACACCCACATGAGGGTAGGGCGGGTCTTGGGGGTATGTAGACCAAGCGCGCCTGCCAAAGGAGGGGAGAGAGGCGGTTAGAATGGGAGGGGAGGGAGGGGCTAGGCGCAAGGCAGAGGCAGGGTGATTGGGTTGGTGTGATTGCGCCTTCCTCACACCCACATGAGGGTAGGGCGGGTCTTGGGGGTATGTAGACCAAGCGCGCCTGCCAAAGGAGGGGAGAGAGGCGGTTAGAATGGGAAGTGGAGGGGCTTAGGCGCAAGGGCAAAGGCAGGGTGATTGGGTTGGCGTGATTGCGCCTTCCTCACACCCATATGAGGGTAGGGCGGGTCTTGGGGGTATGTAGACCAAGCGCGTCTGCCAATGTAGGAGGGAGGGTATGGACAAAGGGGAGGGGGTTGGGCTCAAGGTTGGGGACCGTCGTATTCAGTGAATGTGCCGCATGTAACACGGTCGAATGGCATGGTTTAAACCAGCCGGTGAGGATACTTAACAGACACAATGCAGGCTAGTTTTGAGGGCTAGGGACGGCTACCTTACATGAGACGAGCAAGGCGATAGAGTGGACAATGAGGAAACCGTGGCCTACCGTGAACCCGTTGTGTTTCGCTGGGATTGAGGCTAAAGCCATCGCGTAACGGTGCGCCCACGACCGTTGCATTTGAGTCAGTTGATGCAAGTCGAGTGTAGCTCCATGTGCGTACGCACTGTTGACAGCGTCAATGATAGCAGGGCGGTTCGGCTCGACCAACACCAAGGGACGCGGTATGTTAAGGCGCATCTCGTAGTTGTCTTTGCCTGCCGCATCCGCACCAAAACGCCCTCCGTTAGCCGCACCAGCAGCACCAAAACGCCCTCCGTTTGCCGCACCAGCAGCACCAAAACGCCCTCCGTTTGCCGCACCAGCAGCACCTGACGGCCCTCCGTTAGCCGCCAGCGGCACGGCACCATAACGCCCTCCGTTAGCCGCCCCAGCAGCACCATAACGCCCTCCGTGAGCCGCATCAGCAGCACCATAACGCCCTCCGTTAGCCGCACCAGCAGCACCCGGTAGCCCTCCGTTAGCCGCAACAGCAGCTCCTGACGGCCCTCCGTTAGCCGCAACAGCAGCTCCTGACGGCCCTCCGTTACCCGCAACAGCAGCTCCTGACGGCCCTCCGTTAGCCGCGGAAGCCGCCTCGAAACGCCCACCGTTTGCCGCACCGGCCCCACCTGAAAGCACTCCGTTTGGATCTGCTATGTTCGCCGCATCGTTCCAACCACCTGCATCCGCATCGGTGCTGAGCTCGGAGCCGAGCCGCTGCCCATCGCGTTGACCAGTGCCATGTTGTGAGGGTGCATGTTGTCGCTGCATGGCACGCATCTCATTTCGTGCTTGCATAAGCTCGCGCTCCAGCTGGCGGTATCGCGCGGCCTGGGCCTCAAACACTGCACGGTCAACTGTTGGCGACGCAGACTCTGTCGCACGATTTTCCATCAGCTCAGGCATGTACCCAGGTTCAGGGATGGCGGGATCTTGCTCTGGCTGCGCCTCGAGGTCCACTGGCTGGTTATAACCACCACCATCGTCCTCGTCTTCCAGAAAAGCATCGAATGCATCAGCATCAGACTCGAATGCGCCTCCAGCAGCAGCCGGAAACTCCGGACCAGCGTCGGGCTGGAATGAGGCTCCAGCCTCATGAGGGAACCTGACTCCAGCAGACGGAGACGCGGCTCCAGCACCAGGCTGGTCTGCGCCTCCAGCTGCAAACGCAAGCGTGGCTCCAGCCTCTTGCAAAACCTGCTGTCCATCATCTTGCGAAAACGCAGCACCAGCGGCAGGCTGAAACGCAGCACCAGCGGCAGGCTGAAACGCAGCACCAGCGGCAGGCTGAAACGCAGCACCAGCGGCAGGCTGAAACGCAGCACCAGCGGCAGGCTGAAACGCATGGACAGTAGCAGGCTGAAACGCAGCACCAACGGCTGGCTGAAACGCAGCACCAGCGGCTGTCTGAGACCCAGCACCAGCCGCTGTCTGAGACGCAGCACCAGCGGCAGTCAAAATTGCCGCTTCAGCAGCACGCGGAACTGCCGCGCCAGCAGCAGTCGTAATCGGCGCATCAGCAGCTGTCGCACTCGCCGCACCAGCAGCACCCGGACTCGCCGCTCCAGGAGGACGCTGTATCGCCGCTCCATCTGTATGCTGATGCGCCGCATCAGCGGCACGCGTAGTCGCCGCACCTGCAGCACGCTGAATCGCCGCACCAGCAGCAGGCTGAAACGCTGCATCCGCATGAGGGTAGGACTGCTGTGCTGACCGGCCAGTCTGGTATGCTTCCACTTGCCTTGCGCAGGCTGCAGCCGTGCGTCCGGTCTGCTTTCGTGGCGTTGCCCCAGCCTGTACCGCATCTGACGGGACAACTCCACCGGCGGGTGCGGAGCTGCCTCGCGGCCTTCTCCCAGTGGATGTTGCGGGCCGTCGTACACCGTACGGCGCTGTGGTGTTGCGACGTGCACCACCGGACCTTCTGCCGCCTCCAGCCGTGATTGTTGCTGCTCCGATGGAGAGGCCACCATTCGATGGCAGCGATAGTTGATTGAGGGAGACAATACGGTTCCCTGCAGCAGAGTACACACGCCGTTGGTTAATGCAATGCACGCAACAAAAAACGCATCAGCGCGAGGACAACTAGGGCTCTCGGAACCCGCTGTGTACCCACAGCTAAAGCAGTGCAGGTAGAACATACATTCGTCAACCCCATTTGAAGCGCCAGCAGGGCTACTTGATCCACCAGCTACAGGGCTCGTCCCGCCGTTGGCGCCATTGTTCTGCACCGTTGAGTTTCGTGCGGCAACGGCTGCTTCAACAACTGCAGCAAACCTGAATCGACCGCCAGTAGAGGGAGGACGAGACGGACGCGACGTAGCCTTTCTCGTGATAGCAGATAGGGTTTCCATGGATGCCTAGCGTCAGTGAACATGAGTAGATAAGTCACCGAGCCCTCATGATCTACCATCTTTATAGGCCTCAAACTCACTCCACACTGTCTAGATGACGCATCAGACGATCTCATGGCAGGGGTACGCCACGCCAACAGAGCGAGTAGATGCGCACTTAAGGTTTGAAAATTTGAATCACCAACTCATACGTTCGAAGTAGTGAGGGTGCGCGTACTCGTCCGCGCTGAAGGGTTTGCTGCAGCCCCGCAGCAGGTCCGTTCGGAGAACGTGCTGTGACTGTGGCGGAGATTGGATGGTGGGAGTGACTGGACTCAACCGTTGATAGTGCTTCATCCAACGGACTTGACCACCGCATGCTAACAACGAGGGAGTTACCGGTTCGATTTACAAGTTCTGCATCCCCACTCTGCATCGCGTTGGGTGGGAGCACTGTGTGGTGCTGGCAAATTCCCGCCGTCTATAAGCGCGCCACCCGTGCCCTTAGCTTGGAAACCAGGTTTCTACACCAGGGTACGGAAGGGAGCTGGTTGCGAACACACATATTTCGCGAAAATCGCAGTCAGGTGTGTATCTACATGTAACCCAGAATGTTACCAGCCAAATTTTGAAGGAGTAGATGATATCCCATCGATCAGAAAGTTAGACTGTACGACCCTGGTATCGCGCCATCCAAAACAGCGTACTACCACCCCGAATCCAGATTCAAGACACCGACGAACCCAACAGAGACCTCTCCCCCGCTGCAGGAATCTCAGACGTTAGTGCGGTAGTAGATTCGCTAGTACTTACGTCAAGGTAGTACATGTACGTTGGCAGCATAGAAGTTCTAGCACCCTCACACCATTCGAGCTGCCAGTGATAGGCAAATGGGGTCACTTGCGCTCACCAGGTGCAACCCGCACCGGTCACGCGCGATGTTTTTGTTGGGTGCAAATTTACATTGCACGACATCCTGCCGTCTGTTTGTACGAGTATGCGTGTGCGAATGCATTTGGGTGTGAATGGAATGTTCGTGTGTTTGTTTGCTTTCGCAATTTTCGCTTGATGCATTTGCAGGTACTCGCGCAATGTGCGCTTCGGCACAACATTGTACGCGCTATGAACAGTGCAAGCAGAAAGGACGAGCTCGCAAAGGAACCCAAGATGGAAGCTTTGCAGTTCGGTTGAGTTGATTGCGCAGATTCAGTTCTATCCAACTCGAAATTGTACTGTTTTGTTTGGTTAACTATAGTGTAGCAGGGAAGGCACTATAGGAGTACAATTTAGGTGAAGGTTGGATGTTGTTTGTCTGTATCTGCATGCTACAAGGCCAGGGGAAACCAGCGGAACCAGCATTTGGCTGGTTGGGCAAAGACAAAACAGGTTCTGTTTTTAGAACCTGAACCTGGTTGTTGTTTTCCCAGGTTGGAAAAACAGAACCAGAGGTTGTTTACCAACCTACCACCTGCTATTTTGTCCAGCCAGGTTGGTTCTGTTGCTTGGAATTATTTGGGATCATCCCTGGTTGTTCCCAGGTTGATTCCCAAGGTCCTTGCTAGCTAGAAGTATTTAATCCTTCTCTGTTTGTACCTGAATATAGTCAAATTGATTCAAGCGAATTCCTTCCTCGCTGGAATTTCGTTTCTGCGCTATTCGACGGCGGAATGCTACCCGAGTCAACGCTAGTATGCTAGCACTCCAACGCTAGGCAAACGCTGTCCGAGCCAGAACTTAGTAATGGCAGAACTTTTCGCGAGGCAACTTGGCTCATTTTAAAGCTCTTGGAGCGAGCTTCGATATAGCGAATTCTCAGCTTAATCCGACCGACGGTCTGCACGGCACGCTGCGCGACGTTCAAGGTACTCTTGCTGTTTTGACTAAGTCCTTCTTGATCCCTCTCTCTACAAACTCGGACCCGAGGATAGGGGCTGGTCTTGTACCAGGCACCCAGGGACCCTTGGAGGTGACCCCGAGGAGAGGTTTTAAGTTTGATTAAGTTCTAATAGCTTGAGTTTATTAGGCCCTTACACCAACAAGCTGGTATCAGAGCTGCGTTATAGTGATCCTCGTTATAGGTAGCTATGGCGGGCAACACCTCGGCGGGAGCTGGTGAATCTTCAGCCCAAGATCGTAGCGGCAGCCAAGATTCTGGTCTTTCAGCGCCAAGGGGAGCGCGAACAAACCAGGGCTCGCTTGTCAAGGAGGTGCTGAAGAATTTCACCGTCGAGAAGTTCAATGGTGAGGGCTATGATGATTGGGCCTGGAAAATGCAATTATATTTCCGTCAGATCGGTTTGCTGAAACTAATGATTGGGGAGGAGCCTAGACCGAGTGACCCCACGCTGCAGGAAGATTGGGACGAGCGCTCCTCGGCTGGCTACTATTTGATGTCGCAGAGTTTGGAGCTGAACCAGCGTCACCACGTCATGCACCTGCTGCCGGAGGTTGAATGCGGTCCGAAGGCGTGGACCGTGTTGAAGGAGCTGCACGCCCCGACCTCCGTTGTCGCAACGTTGATGCTGGAGAGGGAGCTGTCCGCGTTGCGCCTGAGCGAGGGAGAGCCGGTGCAACCAGTCCTGGACAAGATGCGCGACCTCTACGCGAAGTTGGCGACCGCGGGAATCACCTACCCGGAGCAGACCAAGTGCTTGAAGATGCTCTCGCTGCTGCCGGAATCGTGGCTTCAATTTACGAGCGGATTGAGCCTGCCGCAGAACCAGAGCTTGTGGACGCTCGAGTGGGTGCGGACGAAGATTCTGGAGGAGGACTTCCGTCGCCACCAACTGAGGGGTGGAGACGACGGCAGCAGCAGCTACGGGATGCAAGGGAGCCGACGTGGCAGAGGACGTGGCTTCGGTGGTGCTGGACGCGGTGCAAAGAAGGACGACGACTCCAACGACCAACAAGGAGGTACCGGTTGGGGTCGCGGTGCGAAATCTGGACGTGGGGGCAAGTCGGGTGCTGGTGGCAAAATGAAAGGGAGTTGCTGGTATTGTGAGAAGGAAGGGCACCCCTGGTTTTTGTGCTATAAGAAACCCGATGGATGGACCCCCCAGAATCGTCAACAGGATGGTGGCGCGCGAAGGAACCAGAAAAACGGCGCGAACATGGTCGCTGATTCGTCCGACAACACCCCGAAGAGCAACGGTGGTGCGGAGAAGAAGAAGGAGCGCACCGCAGGCCAGTTCTTCCATGTGGGAGACAAGGGGGAGCAAGGAGACGCCTCTGCCAAAGTTGGAGCAGAGCTGCACCCCCTAGACTATTGGGTGTTGGACACAGGCGCTGCTTGGACGATGACGCCGCGCAAGGACCTGCTGGACGAAGTACGAGCTGCACCGATCAATGAAGTGTGCTCCGCCTCTGGACACATGTTGAAGGTGGCTGGTGCGGGACGAGCTGCGTTTAAGGGAGCGGATGGCAAGCCGGTGGTGCTGCACGACGTTCTCTTCGTCCCCGACCTGAAGGCCAACCTTATCTCCCTCCGTAAGCTTGGCAAGGCTGGGGTGAACACCAACACGGATGGGGCTCGCACTTATAAGGGGAAGCTGGGCAATCGGGTGCTTTGGGATCTGCACGAGAGCAAGGACGTGTACAGATCTATGTGGCAGCTGCCGGCCCTGGCGTGGCATGGTGGGGGGCAGGCTGGAGAGGGGTCTGCATCCCAGGGGGAGTGCAATGCCGTTGGAGGGGTTGGTGTGAAAGTGTCGGCCAGATCTGGGGAGACAGATTGGGCAACGGCACACCGGCGCTTAGGGCATGTGGCAATGCCTTTGCTGAAGCAGCTGGAGAATGATGGAGCCGTTAAGGGTCTGAAGCTGAACGGACAGCCACCCGATGACAACTGTGAAATCTGTTTGCTTTCAAAGTTCACCCGTTTCCCTTTCCATAGTGTGGCTGGCAGGAGCAAGAAGCCTTTGGAGCTGGTCCACATGGACTTGGTGGGGCCGCTGCCGGTGCAAGGGCACAAGGGGGAGCGGTATTTTCTTACAATTGTGGATGACTGGAGCAGACTGATGTGGGCGTATCCGCTGAAGCAGAAGGACCACGCCGCCTCCACGATACGGGACGATTGGCTGCCATTCGTGGAGAAGCAGGCGGAGTGTGTAGTGAAGCGGATTAGGACAGACCGGGGTGGTGAGTTCCTTGGAGCTGAAATGACGGCCTGGCTCAAGAAGCAGGGCATCCAGAGAGAGCTGACCACGGCTTATACCCCACAGTCCAATGGTGTAGCAGAACGGGCAAACCGGACCATTCTGGAGACAGCTAGGGCGCTGCTCATAGAATCTGGGCTGAGCAATTCTATGTGGCCTCATGCTGTCCGGCACGCCACTGTCGCTAGGAACAGGGTGCTCACC